CCCACCAGCAGCCCTCGAAAGTGGCGACAGTTTCGCAGGTCGCAGCCCCCCAGGGACGGCGGGGTCACGCTCAGATCTGCGCGGTGCCTCACTCCGCAGGGCCTACCAGCAGCCCTCGAAAGTGGCGACAGCGTCGCAGATCGCAGCCCCCCAGGGACGGCAAGGTCTCGCTCAGATCCCAGCGGCGCCTCACTCCACAGGACACACCAGCAGCCCTCGAAAGTGGCGACAGCGTCGCAGATCGCAGCCCCCCAGGGACGGCGAGGTCTCGCTCGGATCCCCGCGGAGCCTCACTCCGCAGGACCCACCAGCAGCCCTCGAAAGTGGCGACAGCGTCGCAGATCGCAGCCCCCCAGGAAAGAGCGAGGTCTCGTAGGATCCCGCGGAGCTCACTCCGCAGGATGCTTCGGCGTGCCTCGAAATTGGCGACCAGGCCGTCGCAGATCGCAGCCCACCAGGGAGGCGAGGTCTCGCTCGGATCCCCGCGGAGCCTCACTCCGCAGGACCCACCAGCAGCCCTCGAAAGTGGCGACAGCGTCGCAGATCGCAGCCCCCCAGGAACGGCGAGGTCTCGCTCGGATCCCCGCGGAGCCTCACTCCGCAGGACCCACCAGCAGCCCTCGAAAGTGGCGACAGCGTCGCAGATCGCAGCCCCCCAGGGACGGCGAGGTTTCGCTCAGATCCCCGCGGTGCCTCACTCCGCAGGACCACCAGCAGCCTTCGAAAGTGGCGACAGCGTCGCAGATCGGAATCGCAGCACCCCGGGACGGCGAGGTATCGCTCTGATCCCCCGCGGAGCCTCACTACGCGGGGACCACCAGCAGCAGCACTCGAAAAGGGCGGACAGCGTCGCAGATCGCACAGCCCCCCAGGCCCGGCGAGGTCTCGCTCGGATCCCCGCGGAGCCTCACCGCAGGACCCACCAGCAGCCCTCGAAAGTGGCGACAGCGTCGCAGATCGCAGCCCCCCAGGGACGGCGAGGTCTCGCTCGGATCCCCGCGGAGCCTCACTCCGCAGGACCCACCAGCAGCCCTCGAAAGTGGCGACAGCGTCGCAGATCGCAGCCCCCCAGGGACGGCGAGGTCTCGCTCAGATCTGCGCGGTGCCTCACTCCACAAGACCTACCAGCAGCCCTCGAAAGTGGCGACAGTTTCGCAGATCGCAGCCCCCCAAGGAACGGCGAGGTCTCGCTCAGATCTGCGCGGTGCCTCACTCCGCTGGACCCACCAGCAGCCCTCGAAAGTGGCGACAGCGTCGCCGATCGCAGCCCCCTTGCGACGGCGAAGAGAGGGCAGGAGGCGAGAGGAGGCGGGCGGCGGGAGGAGGAGAAGGAGAGACGCGACCACACCCCTCTATTCAAAACGAATACCCAACCAAGGTGGATTGGGAAAAAAACGAGTTGGGGGGTTCTTCGGAAGTTTCTGAAGGAAGGTTCTCTGAAATAAGATTGGTTTTAATCGTGAGGCCCCAGAACCCCCGACCAAAAACATTGAACACAAAAAAACAAATTGTTGTTTGTTCGAAGATTCCCCCCCTTCCGGGAAAACCCCCCGAAAAATACCCTGGCGACGTACCCAACCCTTGCGCAATGCGGGGCATAAGTACATCAGGATTGCTACAACGGGGGCGGTGACGTAACATGGACGCATGTGATTTTGCGAGCAGCAATCGGACGGCTCGCAAGATCTAAGGGCTGCGTAATAACAAATCACCCCCGTTGGCTGTGCCATGCGCCCGTTGCACCCAACGTGTCCCACAGCAGCTCTTGAGAGCCCCCGCGGGATACGTGCAGGTGCAACGTTATGGCCATCGCCCGGCAGATGGTCTGTTTCACAAATCCCCCCCGTTGGTTGTGCCATGCACCCGTTGCGCTTAACGTATCACGCAGCAACTCTCCAGAGCCCCCCAGGGACGGCGAGGTCTCGCTCAGATCCAGCGGTGCCTCACTCCACAAGACCTACCAGCAGCCCTCGAAAGTGGCGACAGTTTCGCAGATCGCAGCCCCCCAAGGAACGGCGAGGTCACGCTCAGATCCCCGCGGCGCCCCACTCCGCAGGACCCACCAGCAGCCCTCGAAAGTGGCGACAGCGTCGCAGATCGCAGCCCCCCAGGGACGGCGAGGTCTCGCTCGGATCCCCGCGGAGCCTCACTCCGCAGGACCCACCAGCAGCCCTCGAAAGTGGCGACAGTTTCGCAGATCGCAGCCCCCCAGGGACGGCGGGGTCACGCTCAGATCTGCGCGGTGCCTCACTCCGCAGGACCTACCAGCAGCCCTCGAAAGTGGCGACAGTGTCGCAGATCGCAGCCCCCCAGGGACGGCAAGGTCTCGCTCAAATCCCAGCGGTGCCTCACTCCACAGGACACACCAGCAGCCCTCGAAAGTGGCGACAGTTTCGCAGATCGCAGCCCCCCAGGGACGGCGAGGTCTCGC